CAAAGACGCACCACCGTTTCATTTTTTCTTTTCCTATTCTTTTTTCTGTTGTGAATTCCTGTTCACACACGTAAAAAGTCGCAAACTGGGAGCCAGTTCGAAGAGAGGTTAAAAAACTCGTTTACGGAAGAAGGGACTCAGTTGAAGAGAGGATGGTAGTGTCCGCCTACACGTAAATAGTGAACACAACACGCCGTCGGACGCGAAGGCGACGGAGCCAACTACTGACAGGAGGAGCGAGTTAGTGAACAAGGAAAGCGAACCATTATAAGAGGAGACCACGAGAGAGCTTATGCAGGAGGCAAAAACTCGGTGCAAAAATTGAAGTAAGCCGAAAGAGAAAGAAATCGAACGAACGTTGCAAATCCACCCATCATTCCAGCCCTTAATACGTCTGAGCGGTCTCGTATTTTATTTTATTTACAAAGCAAAGATTTAGAGTTTTTGTTGTTATCGGATAATCTTGAGTAAATTTGGTCGTCAAAGGTTAATAATAGTTCGAATAAAAAGTAAGCAACATCATAAAACTATCAACTAAATCAAAAATTAATTACAATGAGGTAGTTCGGATTTTTTTTTTAATTTTTTTTTTTTTTTTTTAAAAAAAAAATATACAGTCTAAAGGGGTGCATGGTATCCGCCCTCACCGCAAATGGTGGTCACCAACTCTTGGTGACGTGATTAACATAGGCATTTCGTTGTAAAAGAAAACAAGTGATAAAACTCGATGAGAATTTTCGTGTCAGGGAATTAACGTATACTTTTACGTACTTACAGGGTCCGAGTGCCTAGAGTACGACATATAGTTGGAGTCTCACTACCTCAGTGACACACGCAGACTGACACAAATGGCACGCTGGTTGTCCTCAACGACAATGCGCGTGCCCAACAGGCAACACTTCCAAACACTGTCCAATTCATTGTAATCTCGGCTGGGCTACGTCCGGTCGACTATTGGGTGGAGTGTCAGACACAAATCACACACCCTCAAAGACGGAGGTGGTTTGTGTCACCAAGTCGACTCCTCGGGGGTCAGAGCAAGTGTGTGTACTCTTGCGCTTGTGCTAACTCACTATATGGGAATGACGAAATGCTGAAGTGCAATTCTACTCTGAGTTTGAGGTGTGAATTGTGTCAATGACATCCACCAATAGTCGCCGGTAGCCAGCGGTTACAAATACAGACAGTGGTTTTGGAAGTGTTTGCTGTTGTGGAACCGATCTAGTCCGTTGATGGCGACAAAACCCGAGAAGGAAACCGGGCAGCATTTAGTGTCCAGTTCTGCGTGTGCACTGAGGTAGTGAGCTCAACATATGGTACTCTAGGACACTCGATCCCACGCAAAAATGTTAGCGCGTATAAAAGTAGATGCCGATTATATATTCTCTCTCAGCGAAAAATGTCTCTGATCGAGTTCATTTACATATACCCTTCTCCAGTCTCTAAAGACGTGAATCGAAATGCCGGAAATGGCATAATACACACGGTCACCAAAGAGTTGGTGACCCATAGCGGTCGGAGCCATACACCATACTGCAACGCTCCTTGTAGAGTGACTACAATATGTTATTTGTTAATAGAAAACACAAGAAAGAGAACAGACAATTTAACAAATAAATATACGACGAACCAGTAAACTCAGATGCCTAATAATTTTTTGTGAGTCTAGCTTATGATAGTTTTTATGATGTTGCTACTTTCGAACTTTATTAACTTGACACCAATTTACTCAAGATTATCCCGATAATCTAACAAAAATCTAAATCTTGCTTTGTAAATAAAATAAAATAAAGACCGCGACCGAGTAAGGCTGGGAATGATGGCATTGCAACGTTCGTTTCGATTTCTTTCTTCCTTTCTGGCTTACTTCAATTTTTGCACGAGTTTTGCCCTCCATAAGCCTTCTGCTCCGAGTCTCTCTTATAATGGTCGCTTTCACGTACTAACTCCTCCTCTGTCAGTAGTGGCTCGTGGTTCGGTCCGAGGCGGTCGTTGTGTTTTCACTATACGTGTTAGGCGACCTTATCTCTCCTTCTCTTCACTGAAGTCCTTCTTCCCGTAAACGAGTTATTACCTTCCTCGAAACTGGCTCCAGTTTGCGACTTTTTCTGAGCGCTCGTGTTAACTATCGATAGGGACAATCATCAGCAGACTGAAGATGAGCTATTAGCCCTTAGGCTCATCTGCTCCTGGAGGCTTCATTATTATTGGAACTGAATTCCCAAGAGGACATTTTCTGTTTCGATGTGGGTTGTTGCAGGAGGCCTACATTCAAACTTTGGTATAGGTCCAGGAAATGACATGTGTGTACAGTTGACATTTGTTGTGTGAGAATAAGTTATTATTTTGTTCTTTATATTCTCACTTGTGGAGAGAGAGTGAGAGAGAGAGAGAGAGAGAGAGAGAGAGAGAGAGAGACTGCATTTTAACATTGGTCATATGGTGGTACTTGGAGAGCCAACTATTTTCTCAGGTGGTACTTGGTGTAAAAAGGTTGAGAACCACTGCATTAGTGCAACAAATATGGGGTTTATATTTACTGTAAAGGTTCCTTCCGTTACATTGTTATAGAAGTGAGATATTAAATGGAGTGAAATCTTTTAAAAATGTGTGCTGTGCTTTATCTAATCTGTCCTCTTGTTGCTTTTCTCCCTTTTCTATTATTATAAATGAAATAACTTTGGGGTTTTAAGTTGGTTGGAGAAAGTTTAAACTGATTAATCTCAGAAAAGTAATGAAATACATTTATTAAATTCATATGTTATGCAATTACACAACTGTGCTTTCTTGAAATCAGTGAAACAAGAGATAACAAGATGGCTACACTGATACAAAACATGTAATTGGTTGCATTATGATATCATGAGAATTTATGGTGGTTTATACATTTTTTAGATCCAATTATTTTACATTTCCGTGGCTTTTATTGCCATTTTTAACTTGTTAACTGTCCATTGTGAGTTGGATATTAGTATAGAGGTGAGATACTATCGAAATATGAGATCCAATTTCTCAATTTGTTGCTTTTCTCACTTTTATATTACCGTATTGGGGTTTGAGCTGCTGGTCAGAAACAGTTTAAAGAATAACTCGATTAATTGCGTCGTAATCAATCAACACTTCTGACAACCCTCATTAGCTGCAGCCTTGTGTTGAGCATGCAGAGTGACACAGGAACTCTGTGCTTCCTCTATTGGACACAACAGACTCTGTGTGTGTGCAGACGTGTGCTGGAGAACCACCTGATGGTTTCAGTCTCCACGGGGTTTACGCTGTCAGGCGTGAGTTACGGCTCTGGCCCGGGGGAGATTGTGGAAGGGAAAGAGATTGCGTTAGAAATCTGTTCTTGTTTTTTCGTTTGGTTTAAATTAAAACAAATATGCAAGGAACCCTTCAGAGCCTGGAGACATTTTTAATTTGTGGCGTTATCACTTCTGGGGCTGCTGCCAGCTTCCTTCTTATTCTCCAACAGGGCAGAAGAAGGAAGTTAATAAAAGCTTTGTTTACATTCTCGTTTTTCTCCAGATCTACATACCAACCTGTCTTTACACAAAGACTGAGTTACTTATTAATCATTGCCACGGCTTTTAGGAACAATATTAGTCTTTGGAACCACTAACAGGCACATGTTTTGACTCCATCTTTAGGACACATGCTGAGGCTTTCTCTGCACAACTTCAAAAAAGGACACACCGAATCTGGACAACACACACACACACACACACACACACACACACACAGTGAGGATCTCAGCCTGCCACTGACGTTCAACCAGAAAACATCATCTGTTACCAGTTAGCAAACAGAGATCACAGCTCCTCATATCTTTTCAGAAACTGGACAAAAGTTAAACAAGTACATGGCGAATACAGTCGCTGGATTATTTATGTCTGTAGGCCGTTGTTATGAGTGTGGAATGAGCATATACAACGTTAGCTTAGCCTGGTCGACCCAATCTCCATTCAGAAAACAAGCATTTTAAAAGGTTTTTCGCCTGCCGTCTTGTCTGCAGACTTGTCAAGCATTAATTCATGGTTTTTACTAAACGGTATCAGTATGTTGTTACTTCAGCATAATTTAGAAACGTGTATTACAATTTAATCACGGTAAAATATGTTCATTTGGTTGTAGTTGTAGCTCCAGAGCCAGCGCGTCTTGTTTGAATGATGCGAGTAAACACAGCTGGCAGCAGCGGTGAAACTCGAGCGATTAGAGCGAAGTCGCGTCCGGTGTGAACGCAGCATTACAACGACCCCTGATAGATCTCGCGAGAATGTGTATAAATATAGATACATTTTCATAACAAAACAATTGGGTTGCTATAGCAATGGTAAATCATTGTTAATAATTATTGTGAGGAATAATTAACATTAACATGTGACCAGACAGTCCTTCACATACAGTAAATTAATATGTATTCTGATTATTATTAATAATAATATTATCATTAAAGGTGAACCGTGCAATTATGTTATTCAGGAAGTTTGTATCAAACAAGTAGCCCTTCGTATTACTCAGTACCCTTGAAGTAGCCCTCGGTGACAAAAAGGTTGGTGACCCCTGGTTTAGATAGTTCACTTTAGTCTAAGTTATGTCAGTGGGTCTCAAACATTTTTATCCCATTTTATGTAAACAAATATTTCCAAGGCACGCCTTATAATTATTGGGATGAACAGGTTTGCAATCACTCATAATTGACCAAAAATATCATTTAAAACTGGAGAGATAAAAAAATATGCACAAATAAA